GCCCTCGGCCTCGGGCCCGGCTGGAGCCACGCGTGCCACGCCATGCTCTTCGCGCCCGACCCCGGCCGCCTCTTCGGCCGCCTCCCGCTCCGCTACGCCGTCCTGGTGAGGGGGCGGGGCCGCAGAGGCCGTTGGGCCGGCCGGGGCGGGGCCACGAGAACGGGGCGGGGCCTGCTGGGCAGGAAGGGCGGGGCTGCGGAAGAGACGTCCGCCACGTGGCTGACCTCGCCCGGCGCCCGCCTTGGTTGGTTTGCTGACTCGGGACAGTCGACGGGGCAATGGAGGAACAGAAGAAAGTGGGAGTCCAGCCGCGGCAGGCGGCACCCAGTGTTCCCTCTAAGCGGAGTCGGTGCGAGCCAGCCCGCAGTTATTTAGCCTCCGGCTCACACATTCTTGCCTTAGCCCAGGAAGGGAGGGCTCCGGAGCAAACTGATCGATGCAGCAGCCAAATCGCTCATAGCTCACCACTTTCAGGGCAGTAGAATCTTTGCTCACAAGACTCCACAGCTTACAGGGAGCGTTCGGGGCACCTTTAAGACCAACGGAGTTTTATTCAAGGTGTCAAAGAGGCGGGGGGGGGGGGGTTTGTAAGCCGTCAGGAGGGCCCGCTCAGAGCCAAAGATGCCCGTGCAGAGCTGGAGTTGGATCAGCTGGCATCGACCTGCCTAATTTGCTGTCATCCCTTGATCTTACCGGCCAGTCCAGTGTTCCCGCTAAACTGAGTCAGTGTGAGCTAGCTCACAGTTTTTTAGCCTCTGGTTCAAACATTTTTGTCTTGGCTCAGGAAGGAAGGCTCCAGAGCAGACTAATCTATGCAGTAGCAAAATCGCCCGCTCACAACTTTAATGCCGGTTGCTCACATGGGCCCTGATCACACGGCAAAGTTGCCGCGGGAGAGGCACGGAAGGTGGGCGGATTATCCGGGCGCGATCACACCCCAACATCTGGGAGGTGGAGCACACCTGTGGCTTACCGCTGACAATGCGCATTTAAAAACTAGTACCTCCAAGGTACTAGTAAACACGGGCTGCCTCCAGACCCCCATGGTGTGATCTCCAGTCCCTCATTTACTCGCTGGCACTGAGGGAAGGACCCGTGCTGTGCTGCCAGTGCGTCTGATCTCGTAATTGCGGATCAAACTGCACCGGGGCAATTAGCCACACCTTCCCCCCACAATATCTGGCCCATGTGCCCGGGGCCCAAGTAGGATTTTTGCACCCAAGACCTCACAGCTTAGAAGGGAGCATTGCCGGCCACCTGATCGAATTCCACCTCTGCACAGGCATCTTGGCTCTGAGTGGCCCCTCCTGACGGCCTACCTCCCCCACCCTCTGTTTTCCTGTCTGAAGAAGTGTGCTTTGCACACGAACGCTTGTACCTTGAATAAAACTTTGTTGGTCTTAGAGGTGCCCGCTGGACTCATACTTTGTTCGGCTGCTTCAAACCAATGCTGCTACCCCACCTGAACAGAAGAACAAACGTTGAGTCCAGTGGCGCCTTTAAGACCAACAAAGTAAGCTTTCGTGTCCACGTATCTGAGGAAGTGTGCCTGCAATACCTCAGCAGTTACGGTTGCAGAACAAGCCAGACACGTAGAAACAGAATGGAAGAGAAGCATTAACATGATGTGTGAAACGATGCACAAATTTCATACTAGGATCGAACTCACAGTAAGCCGGAGACCCCAGTCCCTAATGACTTATCCGAGTACCTTTGTGAACAATGTTCCCTCTAAGCTGTGGGGTCCTGTAAGCAAAAATTCTAATTTGTGAGCTACTGGCCTTAAAGTTGTGAGCGAGCCATTTTGCACTTGCATAAATCAGTTTGCTCTGAAGCCATCCCTTCCTGAGCAAAGACAAAAATGTGTGAGCCGAAGGCTAAAAAATGGTGAGCTAGCTCACACTAACTCATCTTAGAGGGAACACTGTTTGTGAACCGTTTAGTTCAATGCGACTCTCTCGCCTGTGTGGACCAGCCCTCTTGAATAAGTCAGTTCTGCGTAGCTGGCAGAAGGGCCTCCTGGCAGCCTCAGGCGGGCCACTCCTCACGACTACGGAGAACGAGGGGCTGGTTTTGCCCATTGGCGGGTTGGGCGCCTGCAGAAGATCCTGTTCTCATGTTATTTTTGTATTATTTTATGTTTTTGTTCTGGCAGAGGGTTACGGCTGCCAGTTCTGGGTTGAGAAATTTCTGGAGATTTTGTGGGTGGAGCGTGGAGAGGGCAGGGTTTGAGGAGGGGGCCCCAGTGCCCTAGAATCCACCCTCCCCGGCAGCCATTTTCTCCCGGGGGAACTGAGCTCTGTCATCCCGAGAGGAGTTGCAGCTCCAGGAGACGGCCGGGCCCCACCAGGAGGCCATTGAGAAAATCCAAAACACAGCCACAATACGATTACTCAATGTAACACTGTACAGTCTATTATATTAGTTGCTGTAGACTTTCCGGGTTGTCTGGCCGTGGTCTTGGCATCGTAGAACCTGACGTTTCGCCAGCAGCTGTGACTGGCACCCTCAGAGGTATAAACACAGAAAGGTGGAGTACTCTCTGTGTCAAGGCGAGAAGAAAATGGTAGACGGGTAATTTATATCTCCTCAGGAAGGTGGGTAGGGCTGAGTCATTGTCTTGTAGTTGTTCAGTCGCACAGTCGAGTCCGACTCTTCGCGACCCCATGGACCAGATCACGCCAGGCCTTCCTGTCTTCCACTGTCCTCTGAAGTTTGCTCAATTTCATGTTCGCTGCATCTATGACACTGTCTAACCATCTCATCCTTTGCCCTGGCTATGGACATGCTTTCCTGAGGAGGTTCTTTTGTTTCCTGAGGAGGTTGTTGAAATTCTAATCTTATCTGTTGTCTGAGGTAAAGCCTTTTGTGTTTTTCAGGACAGGAAGCCATGTCCTATTTATTTTTAAACTCTCTTCTTTCCTGTTGAAATTGTGTTTGGCCAAGTCTGCAGTGTCTTTCATGTTCTTTTATTCTTGTCCGAATGCTACGGTGTGTGGTCCCGATGTAAACTTGTCCACAACTGCATGGTATGCGGTAAACTCCTGCAGAAGTGCGGGGGTCTCTTCGACAACATAGTCAATTATATTGTTTACCAAGCACGTTCCTATAAACAGATACATGCAAAGGTTAAGATGGATAAATAAGAACATAAGAGACGCCAATGTTGGATCAGGCCAAAGGCCCATATAGTCCAACACTCATTGTGTCACACAGTCACCAAAAATACCAGGTGCCATCAGGAGGTCCACCAGTGGGGCCAGGACATTAGAAGCCCTCCCACTGTTGCCCCCCTCCAAGCACCAAGAAACAGAGCATCACTTGCCCTAGAGTCCCTATCTATACCTTGTGGCTAATAGCCACTGATGGACCTCTGCTCCATATGCTTATCTAATTCCCTTTTGAAGCCGTCCATGCTTGTAGCCGCCACCACTTCCTGTGGCAGTGAATTCCAAGTGTGAATCACTCTTTGGGTGAAGAAGGACTTCCTTTTATCCGTTCTAACCCGACCGCTCAGCAATTTCATGGAGTGCCCACGAGTTCTTGTATTGTATCAGTTTTTTCTCGTGTAGGTTGAGTCCAAGCCTAGCAACTGTCCAGGCCTCCAACGGGCCGGCTAAAGATCTCCCTGTTTCCGTCCTCATTTCTGTTCCCAGCCACAACAAAGGACTTTATACAGACATATTTGACAAGCTTGGTTTGACTGCCAGGTTTGCCTTCAGAAAGGGCGGAAACGGGGATCTTTAGCCAGCCCGTTGGAGGCCCTGGACAGTTGCTACGCTTGGACTGTACATACATGACAAGAAACTGATAAGGAAATAATCAGAACTGAACTTTGGCACGAGTATTTTTATTTATTTAAAACATTTATCCCTCTTAACCTTTGCATGTATCTGTTTATAGGAATGGGCTTGGTAAACAATATCATTGACTGCACAACGTTACACTGAGTAGTTATATCATGGTTGTACTTTGGTTCTTCTTAACTGCTTTCCCCGTGATCTCTCGTATATTCCCAACCAGGAGGCCGATAGTCCACCTTTCTCCTTGAAGCTCGGGGGGAGGGGGGGGATCATATGGTGTAGATCCAGGGCAACAATCGGCTCAGGATTGGATGGTCAAGAAGCAACACTATAGGATTCGGAGTGCACAATCCCGGTCCCTCCGTGCGTTCCTCTCTTGCAGATGCAGCTGCGGTTTGATGGCCAGCTGGGCTTCCCGGGGGGCTACGTGGACCGGCGCCTCCGTCCCCTGGAGGAGGGCCTGAACAGAGTCTTGGCCTTGGGCCTGGGCCGCGGTGTGCGCCTGGTGGAAGAGGACTACCTGGTCTCTCACGTCGCCCGGGGTCCCCGTCGCCTGGTGGCGCACCTGTATGTCAAGCGGCTGAGTTTGCCGGAGCTGCGTGCCCTTGAGCTCCAGGCGGTGCGCTCCCGTGACCATGGGCTGGAGGTAGGCCTCGTGGGGCAGCGCTTGTGTGTGTGTGGCGGAGCTGACCAGTGCTTCCTCAGCCTTCCCACTCCGGCTGAGGTGTGGCACTGCAGGGGTCCAGGGCAGGCTGCTGCAGCAGTTGACCCGCCCCGTGCGGAGGCTGAAGACCTCATTGCCAGCCTGGCCTTGAAACCAAGCCTGCGGGATGCCAGTGGCTGAGCTCCAAGGAGGACAGGGGGCAAGGCCCCCTTGGGACGCGGGCAGAAGACCGGATGGGGGGAAGGCAGAGGGTGACGTGGCTGGGAGGTCACGGAGCACTCTACCTGTGCTGTTGCAGGTGATGGGGACGGTCCGCGTGCCCTTGTACATCCGGAAGGACCGCCTGGGCGGGCTGCCGGCCTTTCTGCAGAACTCCTTTGTCGGCGCAGCCAAGTTCCAGCTGCTTTATGCACTCAAAGTCTTGAACATGGTTCCCGTGGGAAAGCTGGCTCAGGCTGTGGCCGCAGTGCAGGCGCCCCAAAAGACGGCCTCGGAAGCAGCGGGAACCACCTCAGCCTCCCCTCCGGCCCTCTCTCCTCCTGGGCCAGCGTGAGGGAGAGGCCGAGCGGGAGATCCAGCCCACAGCTTCGAGGTCAGAGACTAACAGGGTCGGGGGGGGGGGGCTAGAAAATCCCCAGGCTTTCCAAGGCCCACGTCCCTCCCTGCCTTCGACAAAGTGCCACAATGTGCCGGATGCCACGAACTGCAATTGTGGAGAAGACTCTGCTCCAGTGAGGCTTCAAGCTCTCAGGTATCAGCAAGCAGCCGCATGCCGGTGGGTAGGGTGGGTGGTCAGTGATGAAAAATCCCCTCTGAGCTCTCGAACAACAGTCCAGAGATCTCCCAAGCCAGCAATCTGGAGAAAGGTTTTACAAAATTTGCAACAGCGAGCAGTTTTGAGAGACCGCAGCCGCCAGTAGCTACGAGGGACTTCTCTCACCCTCCGCAATTGTAGGGCACGCTTATTTTAAACCATTAACACTTACTTGAGGGTGTTCAGTGACAGGAGGAAAGGACGGGAACAGGAAGAATAAATGGTTGAGCTCTTCTGAGGCCTGTGACTAGTTTCTGTGCCAGTCTTAAAAGCCGGTTGGGAAGGGCCTGTGGTGGGTACCTGTGCGTCTTGATACGCAGGTGTGCGTTAAGGCAGCACACCTGCAGCACCCACTGGAAAATGCAGCTGAGGGCTGCCTGAACGTCCTGGTCCAGATAAAATGCTCTGGCAGGCCTGGAAGACTCTCCCTACAGCAGCCACCGGCCATGGAGAGAACGTCCCCCAAGGCGCTTCATGGCTGGCGGGGGGAGTGGATGAACCCAGGCTTGTCCAGTCCTAGGCCAGCACAAGACAACCATGCTGGATCTCAGAATTTGAAGGGAGCTCCAAGATGTAGCCGTGTTCAGCTCTTGCAGGCAATCTCTCCTGTCACTCCCCTGGGCGCCGCAGCAGCATCTGCCCCTACCCCTGGAAGCATCCGACGGAAGAGGTACAGAGGGAGGCGACGAGGGTGATTGCCCAACCTTCCCTAGGAGCAGGGGCTGGGACTTTTCGGTCTAGAAAAAAAGATGAATGGGGGGGGGGCACGATAGAGGCTTATATAATCACGCATCGCTGGAGAAAGCGGGTCGGTCAGAATGCAGAGAAGACATTTTTCTCCACCTGGTGTAATGCGAGAACTCGCGGGCAACCCAAGCAAAACTCTTGGGAAACAGGCTCAGGACATAGAGAGCTTTAAAAGGAGGTCCGGCAGGTTCACAGAGGAGAGGTCCATCGATGGCTACTAGCCATGGTGACCGAAGGGAGCGCCCACATTCAGAGGCCAGAACTTCAGGGGAGGGCCAGAATAACTGGCTGGCCGGACTAGACAGACTGCAGGGCTCCTCTGGTGTTCTTATCGGGCCAGGCAATTCCTCAGAGCACACGCTTCCTACAAGCTTCTCCTCCAGGAGTCCCATTCCCACCCGCTGTGAACAGCCAGGGAAAGAAGATGCTGGAATCCTGGGCCTAACCTCTAAGCCGAGTTAGTGTGAGCCAGCTCAGTTTTTTTAGCCTCCGGCTCACACATTTGCGTCTTCGCTCAGGGAGGGTGGCTCCAGAGCAAACTAATTTATGCAGCAGCCAGATCGCTTGCTCCCAACGTTAATGCCAGTAGATCACAAAGTAGGATTTTTGCTCACAAGACTCCACAGCTTAGAGGGAGCGTTGGTCCTGGGCCCCACCACACAACAATGAGAAGAAGAAGATTGGATTTATACCCCAGAGCCCTTCACTACCCAAGGGAGTCTCAGAGCGGCTTACAAGCTCCTTTCCCCTCCCCCTCCCCAGAACAGACACCCTGTGAGATGGGTGGGGCTGAGAGAGCTCTGACAGAAACTGCTCTTTTTCAAGGACAGCTCTTATCAGAACTACGGCTTGTCCAAGGCCCTCCAGCCAGGTGGAAGTGGAGGAGGAGTGGGGAATCAAACCCGGTTCTCCCAGATTAGAGTCTGCGCACTTAACCATGACACCAAATGATAAGCAGCAAGCCCACCCAAGAGTCACAAACAAAACTTTTTAATCAGACATTTAAAGTGACTGGCTAACTTTCGCTCTTAATAAATAAGGGGGCAGCAAGCAAGTGGCCAAAGTCAAAACCTTTCTGGGGGGGGGGGATGTGTGGCAGCTGTGGAGCAGGGGGTCCCAGCTAAGGCAGAGAGGGGGTCTGTGTCTCTTTCTCTGAAGCCATCCAGGGGCGGTGTGTGACTCTTGTGTGCACACAACGGGAAGGTGTGCTTGTCAAGTGCTCTGAATTCCAATACGGGAAAAGTGCAGGTGAAACCCATAAAAAGAAAAACCAGAATGTACAAACTACAACTCAAAGACATTCTCAAGGGGGAAAAACAAACAAAAAAAAGAGGTTAGAAAAATACATTTAGAGAAGATCACACACTATGATTTCTATTAAAACGGCTCTTCCCACTTGGAGGTCGCGCCCCCCCTCCACCCCACAGACGGCCCTTTTGACACAGGGACCTTCTCGGCCTTGCGGATGCTGTGGGCACCCCAAGACTGAGGGTGTGTCAGTCTCTGTAAACCCCCCCCCCAACCCCCAACCGACTGGAGTGCGTGGAACGAGGGCCTTTCTGCCGGGATCCGCCGGCGCCTTCGACTCTCTCAGAAGGGTATCCTTAATCCCTGGGACGGGACTCTTTCAACGCCAAGCCATCTGGCCCGGTGGGACCGGTTTCCTGGGAGGGCCTGCAGCAGCCCAGCACCAGCCTTTCCTCTTCCCATTCCGGGGCTGTTGCCAAGCCCTGCGCCTGGGACAGAGGCAGGGAGCCCCGCCGGTTCCAGGCAGAAGGGGAGAAAGGTGGGAAGGGCACTCCCCCCCCCCCCCCCGCCCGCCCTGCCACAAGTGCAGGAAAAGCCTTCCCCGCTTCCGGCCTGCCACGTCCTCCACCGATCTCACCTCCGGGCTCATGGAGAAACGCAGCTATGGGGAGAAGCCGCTGCCGCCACCTGGGAATGACGTCAGGGGCCCTGAGAAGGACAGGCTGCTCAGAGGGGACCCTCTTTGGGCCTCGCCAGCGGCAGCACATCTCCGGGACAAAAATACCCAGGGGGGTCACCATGGGAGTGCTGCTTTCTTTTCAACAGCTTGCGCCTGGAGGCCAGTCGCACCCGCCGGCTGGGGCCGGACGGTGCAGGCCGCGCAAACGACCCCCCCCCCGCCACCCCACACACTGTGCGTTTGCAGAGCTAGAAGAATTGATTCCCACCCTCCTTGAGGATCAGAAATTCCACTGCGGGGGCTCAGTCTTCCTCCCCCTCTCTCAGACTGGGCCCCTTTGTCAGTTAAATAGTGGGGGGGGGGAGAAGGGGAGTGTCTTGTGCAAAACAGGCAAATATGGTGGCTGGGGGGGAAAGGAGCCAAGCCCCCCCCCGAAGGGCTCAGGGCCCCCCCCACAAGCCTCGGAGACCAGCCTCCCCCCCCCCACCACCCCACCAACCCCCGCGCTGCACCTGGGGAGGGGAACCAGTTTCAGAAACTGTTCTTTGGAGCATCGAGGACGCTGCTGGGCAATCGCTGCCTGCAGCCCGGAGAGGAGGGGAGCGCTACCACTGGCTCCCCACCGAAGAACCCGATGCCTGGAGGCTGGGCCTCGCCCCCCCCCCCCGGCAGCCTCCGTCTCTGCGTCCCGGCGGAGGCCGAAGGATATATACACCGCGTATACGGAATTATATACACACATTTCACTATGAAACAGCAGATTCATTCCCCGTGCCTTCCCCGTCTCCCGCTGCTCGCTGCAAAGGCCCAACCAGGCCGGCGAGTCCCGTGGCTGCAGGGCGGAGGGGCGCTCACAGCCGGGGCCTCTCAGCGGGAGGAAGTCTCAGAGCAGGCCTCAGAGCCGCGCCGCCAAAACCATCCCCCTCCACGTTTGTCCTGTCTCCTTCCTTTCGCCTGCCACTCCAGGCGGGCTCCCAGAGCCCATCTCCCCCGCGGCTCCGGAGGAGCAAACGGCCACGACTCCCACCCTGGAACGTCTCCCTTAAGTGCCAGGCCGAGGTGGGGGACTGGGAGCCCAGCAGAACGGGAAGGGCTGCCGCCAGAGGTCAGGTCAGTCCACATGCGGAGCCACCGGCCGCTTCCTCACCGCTGCACAACTCCAGCAAACGCCAGAAGGTCCTGTGGGAACAATCAGAGGGCTTTGTCAAGCAGCAGCCTCCATGTCAGCGTCTCTGCTTCAGGACGGACAGACACTTCCCCCGGCCTCCGCCGCAGGGAAGACAACCACTGCCTAACTAAACCGGGGGTCTAAAACAGGAGCTTAAAGGAAGACCCGCTTAATGCGAGCGCTGAGAGACTGCTTAAACATGGTTAAGACTGAGGGGGGAGGCGAGCCAGTGTGGTATAACGGTAAAGGATGTCAGCTTAGAATCCGGGAGGCCCAGTGGAACGATTTCTTGTTTTGGTGTGTGTGTTTCTTTAAATGTTTAGTTTGACTGCAGTAATGTAAGGGGAGTGATAGAGGGAGACAAGTGTGATGTGACTGGCTGATGACAGAGAGTGTGGGAGGAGGGGTGTCTCTATGAGAGTGATTCTGTGTCCTGGAAGAGACGAGTGTGGAGAGTTTTTGTGAGAGTCTGTAACAGAGGAAGCAGTTGGAGTTTAGCCTGTGTGGCTGCGCGAGAGAAAGTTCAGCCTGTGTGGCTATATGAGCAAGACAGTTTAGCCTGTGTGGCTATATATGAGAGAGAGAGAGAGATAAGCCTGTCAGAGTGGAGTTTTGGTGTATGAGAGACTGTGTGTGGCACCAAGCCTTGTCAGTCATATTTTCTTTCTTCGACAATAGTTCAAAATTACCCAGAAACCTATTTTGTTCTTTTATAAATAAATCATTATTTGTTTAAACTTATCCCAGCAATCAGAACAGTCCTTCCTCAGGGCCACATAGTCCTCTGAAGCGCCCAGACACTGGGTCATTCTACCAAAATAGAGATTTGGATTTTTTATTTCCTGGTGGCAGCAAGAAATTTACTAATGTACACAGAGTTTGGTTTAAAGGAGAAACAGTCTCCCCAATAAAGCAGGATGCCACACCCAGGTTCGAATCCCCACTTGCACTGGGGAAGTTCAAGTGGGTGACTTTGGGCCAGGCACAGTCTCTCTCAGCCCGGCCTACCTCTCAGGGCTGTTGTGAGGATAAAACGGAGAACAATGTAAACTGCTTTGGGTTGCCATTGGGAAGTATGGAGTACACATGAATTAAACAAAATAAAAATTTGCTCCAGGGGGCAGGTGGAAAGGTGGGGTTGCGCCGGCTCCCAAGCTCCTGGCCAGAAAGAGCCGGACTTCCATCTCCATCAGTCGTGGACAACCTGAGGTCCTCCGCAGTCTTATTTTACGGAACCACACAACATTTCTGTTCCCCGCTGAAAGGGAGCGAGGCCTGTAACTGGAGGAGTCAGATATGAGGAAAAAATACGGGCGCGTGTGCTCGATGCCCACAGAACAATACAACAACAGATGAGACTATAGCAAAGCCATAACATCATTTAGTGTCTGGTAAAGACGAGCAACATACTCCTTCACAGAAAAAACACATAGGAATTCACACCGCAGTCTGCTCCAGTCTCTCACAATCTATATACTTATAACCGTCTTGCGTCCTTGTACAAATTCACAACAGTAGTCTCCTCCAAATACAATCAATTTGTATATCTCTTTCAGTTTATACTCTTTCCGGATATCTAAGTGTTTCAGACCTCTGGTCTTTCCTCAGGAACAAGTCCTATTTAGGAATCTCACATTCAATCTTATGTTCAAGTAGACACTTTCATTGATTTACTTTTCTGTTAGACTACCTGGCCAAAGTCTCCTCCCTCATTTCCAAGCGTACTGATGCTGCTGCCAAAGTCAGATGGACCCACACTATGTTGTTTGTCTTTAGGTAAAGGTTTCCCTCGCTCGAAAGCCAGCCGAATCCGACTCTAGGGATGCGGTGCTCATCTCCATTTCCAAGCCAAAAAGCCAGCGCTGTCCGAAGACTTTTCTGTGGTCATGTGCCTGGGATGACTAGATGCTGAGGTGCACGAAACGCTGTTAACTCCTTCCCACCTAAGCGGTACCTATTTATCTACTTGCGATTTCTTGCTTTCGAACTGCTAGGTTGGCAGGAGCTGGGGCCAGAGACGGGAGCTCACTCCGTCACGTGGCACTCGGGTCTCGAACTACCGACCTTCCGGTCTGCAGCTCAGCGTCTTAACCACTTGAGCCACCGCAGCCTGGTTTGTCTTTACCAGACACTAAATATGTTATGGCTTCATTATAGTCTCATCTGTTGTTGTATTGTTCTGTGGGCATCTAGCACACGTCTGTATGTTTTCCAGACCTTACTGTTTTGAGACTGTGTGTTATTTCTTTGGATTGTAACTGGAGGAGACCGGGGGATGGGGGTGGGTGGGAATGGTCACCGAACAGCCCGTCGCCATGATCCGTGTCTCGGGGCCCGTCCCACCTCACCGGGTGCTGCACCCCTTGCCTCGCTCCAAGCCACACCCAAGGGAGGAGGGCCATGAGGAGGGCCCACGCAGGCGCTGCGGCCTACCTTCGCATCACATGGTCCGGCTGTACTCGATGCCGCTCTTGGCTGAGATGCTCGACCACGGCAAGAGGCTGCAGAGAAGGCTCTGGGCTTGGCGGTAGATCCGCTGGGGAATGGTGCAGGGGCTCAGATGGGCCAGGGCTGATCCGAGGTGCTGAAGGTAATCAGTGCACGGTCGTTAAGGAAGAGAACCGGGAAGGCCGAGAGAGATGCACCCCAGGCCAGCGGCCCGCAGCAGGGGCTACGGCTACGACTACTAACCAAACAATAATTAAAGAGATGAAAAACGCAAGGGTAGACCATCAAAAAATTCACAGGTTTACACGTTACCCTTAGACATAAATCTCATTGTAACATAATTAATTGTTTTCGATTCTTTACACCAGTTTGGTGTAGTGGTTAAGTGCGCGGACTCTAATCTGGGAGAACCGGGTTTGATTCCCCACTCCTCCACTTGCAGCTGCTGGATGACCTTGGGCAAGCCGTAGTTCTGATAAGAGCTGTCCTTGAAAAAGAGCAGTTTCTGTCAAGAGCTCTCTCAGCCCCCACCTACCTCACAGGGTGTCTGTTGTGGGGAGGGGAAGGGAAAGGAGTTTGTAAGCCGCTCTGAGACACCTTTGGGTAGTGAAGGGCCATGGGGTATAAACCCAATCTCTTCTTCTTCTAAAACAATTAATAAAGTAGATCTGATGGTCACGATTCCAAAACACAGTAACACAGGACCACAGATTCCATTTGAGACATGAGCTGTGCCTAGACTATTGTGGAAATCAGGTTCCAATTTTCAGCCATACAACTGAAGAAGAGTGCTTTGAAACGTCTGGCATACCTGGGAAGGCTGTTTTCGGCTGCAGACTTCTCTGGGACATCTTCTGCCTTTTTTGTGGACTCGGAGGTCTTTTGGACACTATTATATTGAAAGGATATAGAGGAGTCTCCTACTGGATTCTTTCTTCACGACTGAATTTATCTTTTCTTGTCAATTCAGTCTTCTGTTCTTTGAATTGTTACCGTGTTTTGGAATTGTGACCACCAATTCTACTTTATTAATTGTTTTACTGTAATTACGTTACAATAAGACTTACGTCTATGGTAACATGTAAACCTGTGGATTTTTTGATGGTCTACCCTTGCGTTTTCCATCTCTACGATTACTAACCCCCACTGCTCCCCCTCGCTCAGCATCCTTTACTAGGACAGGAAGTCCAGCAAGTGGGGAAACACTCCGGCCCCCCGGCCACCACCACGTGACACCTCAACATGTCCCAGCCCCCAGAGAACAGCTCAGGCGAACACACAAGCAGCCGTCCCACAGGGGCATGGACAGTGTCCCAGGCCATCTGGAAATCTCGGCCTCAACATTCACTCCCCCCAACAGGCCATCTGCACTAGTGGAGGGGTGCTCGGGGTTGCCGTTCTGACACACGCAGGGAGAAAGAGTGAAACCATCTAGACAGGCCTGCAAAGCCACTGACTCACCCCCGCGGCCACCGTTTTGTCCTCACTTGCTTTGAAGCGTCATCCTGCTTCTGAGTTACCGAACTTTACAGCCTGGTGGGACACGCTCCCTATTGAGACCAGGGCCCTGCGTAGGGATCTGCTTCCATTCCGCAGGGCCTGCGAGACGGAGCTCTTCCACCAGGCCTCTGGCTGAGGCAGCAGGCGCCCGTTAATTACAAGGTCATTCCAGGTCCCCTTTCGCCAGCAAAGAACCCAAGAACCTCCGTTTAACACTGAATGCAAGTTAATACATTTTCAGGTTTAGCACACGTGAAAACATTAGTAATTCACGAGCAGCAGGCTGGCTCATTTTACACCCGATGCAGAGACAAACCAAAACTTCCTGTCATGCCTCCTGGAGCTCCCCCCACCCTTACTCCCTTTTCCCCTTCCTCCTCCCTGGCCTTGCAATCCCCCCCCCGCCCCCACCCAGCAAGAGGGCTGCAACCGTTCTCTCCCAAGCAATCCATTTGCAAACACCCAGGCAGACACCCGTCCCCCTCGGCTTCGCTGGCGGGACTCGCCACGGTGCTTCTCGGGGCTCCCGTGCCCCGGTGATCCCTGGCAAAGGATATAAGATGGTCCAGGGAGGGTGCCCGCCGTTGAGGTAAAGCACGTAGGTGAAGCCATCTTTCAGGACGCCCCGGATGGAGTAGTAAGAGGGCAGGTAGTGGTGCTGCTTGAAGTCCCGGTTCTCGTAGAAACTGATGGCAGGGTGGTTCGTGGTGAGGACGTGCAAGTAGATGGCCTTGCAGTGGTCTTGGGCAGTGGTGGAGATGTGGTCTTTCAAGCTTTCCAGCAAGAGCGAGCCTGCCACGGGAGGAGGAAGAGGGGCGTGAGGGACCACCGGGAGCATCCCCCTCCCCAGGGCACACCCCCCCCCCCGCCCCCCCCCCCCCCCACGGCCTTTCCGGCTCCTTATCAGGTTCAAAAGCTGCCTTTGGTTTTGACCTTCAAAGCCTTATACGGCCTGGGACCCACATATCTAAGGGACCGCCTCTTCCCATAGACGCCTCGAAGAGCACTACGCTCAAAAGATCAACACCTCCTGGTGGTCCCCGACCCAAGGGACGCCCGTCTTTCCTCAACCAGGGCCAGGGCTTTCTCCTGATGGGACAGGCTCCCTATTGAGACCAGGGCCCCCCTGCGTAGGGATCTCCTCCAACTCCGCAGGGCCTGCGAGACGGAGCTCTTCCGCCAGGCCTTTGGCTGAGGCAGCGGGCACCCGTGCATGGCCTCCCCCCTGAGGCGGCTCTCACCCATCTGTCACCCGTCTCCTGGCCACCGACAACTGGCCTTTAACTCACTGTACCCTCAGGCCAGAACTCTGGGGCCAACTGATGCTGTTCCAAGCTGTACCCATTGTTTTAATTGTTATAATGTTTTATTGCGTTTTTAATGTTTAATGTTTTAGACTGAAATGGTATTTATTTCAATGAGGTGACCCGCCCTGAGCCCACCCATGGGATGGGCGGGCTCTGAATGCAAACAAATAAATCAATCATCAACAAGAGGACCCCGGCCCCTCAGGCGGCGCAGAGCGACGGCGTGAAAACGTGCACGGTGGAGCCCAGCCCTCTGGCCCGCATGGAGAGCTTTGCGGCTGTCTCAAAACCATACGACATCCCGCAGAGCGAGCCAGGAGTGGCACTCCGGCGAAGAGACCTGCCAAGAGCCGGCCGCCTTCCTCCTGCCAAGGGCTGCCGGGGAATCCTCCGCCTTCCTCTGCCAAGGAGCAGCACCGGGAACTCCACACTCAGAGGTCACTGACCCCAGCTGCGTGTGCCTCCTCTCTTTACGCGGCAGCAGCTTCCTCGGGATCTTACTTGGATTTATGGAAATAAAAGCCGGGTTTGCCCCGAGGACAGGCCGGAAGGGGCACGGGCACAACCAGAGAGTTGTGGGACAGGTGTCAGCTGAGGCTGCTGTGAGTCGGGGTGTTGGACAACGGATTGTACTCACGCCCCCCCCCCCACGCCTTCTCTAGCCTAGTGCTTATCTTGCAGGTGGCCTTGGAGCTAGAGAAGAGAAGAGATTGGATCTATACTCCATGGCCCTTCACTACCCAAGGGAGTCTCAGAGCGGCTGACAAACTCCTTCCCCTTCCCCTCCCCACAACAGACACCCTGGGAGGCAGGTAAGGCTGAGAGAGCTCTGACAGAAACTGCTCTTTTTCAAGGACAGTTCTTGTCAGACCTACGGCTTGCCCAAGGTCATCCAGCCAGGTGCAAGTGGAGGAAGAAGAAGAAGAAAAGAAGAGATTGGATTTATACCCTGTCCTTCACTACCCAAAGGAGTCTCAGAGCGGCTTACAAACTCCTTTCCCTTCCCCTCCCCACAACAGACGTCCTGTGAGATAGCTGGGCCTGAGAGAGCTCTGACAGGAACTGCTCTTTTTCAAGAACAGCTCTTATCAGAACTACGGCTTGCCCAAGGCCATCCAGCAGGTGCAAATGGAGGAAGAAGAAGAAGAAGAGAAGAGATTGGATTTATACCCTGTCCTTCACTACCCAAAGGAGTCTCAGAGCGGCTTACAAACTCCTTTCCCTTCCCCTCCCCACAACAGACGTCCTGTGAGATAGCTGGGCCTGAGAGAGCTCTGACAGGAACTGCTCTTTTTCAAGAACAGCTCTTATCAGAACCACGGCTTGCCCAAGGTCATCCAGCCAGGTGCAAGTGGAGGAGGAGGGGGGGAATCAAACCCAGTTCTCCCATATTAGAGTCCGCGCACTTCAACCACGACACCAAACTGGCTCTTCCCTGAGCTTCTCACTGGGAACCTAACGGTTCTGTGTTAGCCTGTGCTTAATTGTGCTTGCTCATTGGCCTCGGGGTGTCAGGGGGTCTCCTCTGAAGGGGGTATTCCCCTGGGGCCCCACAGGCCTCCCTCGTCATTCCTGACACAAGAGTTCATGGTGTCTCAAGTACTTTCTCCCTCAATAAACTGGTACTTCTGAAGGCCTGGTGTTGAGTGTGACTGACTGGGAACCCTGACACAGGGCTAGCCTGGTCTCCCCAAGAGACTTGTTCATTTGGCCCAGGGAAAAAAAGGTTTTGAAAGTGCTACTGAAGAGAGGGTAACATGATAAGGTGCTGACTCGATCTCGTCAGGTCTCAGAAGCTAAGCAAGATCAGCCCGGGGTTAGCACTTGGATGGGAGGCCAGCGAGGAAGCCCAGCAGGGGTCATTTTGTAGGAAAAGAGGTGCAGGAGCGCATTAGCATACCTCGTTTGCATATGCCACACCCCCTGACATCACCAGAAGTGTGTCAGAAGGCAACACCCACCGCTCAGGCTCCACTGGACTGTTCTGGATTGCTAGCTATTGGGGGGGGGGGAACGTGCAGATCTGTCCTTGCAGAGGAGGGAGAGCTTGCACCTGAATAAGACTCGGTCTTAAAGGTGCCACTGGACTGTTTTGGGCCAGGGGGAGCTCTGCAGCTTACCTGGCTGCTTCTTGCTCTGACTGAGGGCTGCTGGGAGCAGGGGGCGGGGCTTGTTGCATGTGCCCGCCCCCCTGGGCTCTTTACTGCCGGAGCTCCGTTCCTGTGCGCTCCTGCAGGGACTGACCCCTGAAGCCCAGGGTGGCTACAACGCAGGGGCAGGCCAAGGCAGAACACCCCTGAAAGTCCCTGCCCTGACTCTAGGGCTGCAGCGCTCATCTCCGTTTCCAAGCCGAAGAGCCAGCGCTGTCCAAGCACGTCTCCGTGGTCATGTGGCCGGCGTGACTAGACGCCAAGGCGCACGGAACGCCGTTACCTTCCCACCGAAGCGGTCCCTATTTATCCACTTGCCATTTCTTGCTTTCGAACGGCTCGGTTGGCAGGAGCTGGAGGCGGAGACGGGAGCTCACTCCGTCACGCGGCACTCGGGTCTCGAACTGCCGAACTACTGACCTCCCGGTCTGCAGCTCAGTGTCTTAGTCACTGAGCCACTTTACACACAAACACAAACATCTAGTTCCTCTGTGCCAGGCCCAGTTCTGTAGACCTTTTATGTTGCTGTTGGTGGTGCAAAGTGCCATCAAGCTGTAGGTGACTTAGGGCCGGCCCCTGGTGGGGTTTCCAAGACATTCAGAGGTGGTTTGCCACAACCTTCCTCTGCACCACAATGCTTGGCCTTTCTTGGCCATCTTCTGAAAGCTGAAAAGACTGGCCTGGCCTGGCCTGGGCCATCTAGGGAGGGGCAGAGACAAATGGAGGTGGTTCTGCCAATGCCTGCCTTGGTGTCACAACCCTGGGCTTCCCTGGGCAGTCTCCCATCCAAGTACCAACCAGGGCCGAGCCTGCTTAGCTTCCCAGGCTGGATGGGAGTCGGCTCGCCTGGGACACCCAGGTTGCCCCCTCTTCAATAACACTTTTTTAACCTGTTTACCCGGGACAGAGAAACTACCTAGTCCGTAATGTCCCCGAGTCCTCCTGGATCCCTTAAAAAACACCTCAGCATGACATTTGCTGTCTTCCAGACTTCCGGCACAGAGACTGACGTTCCCAACAAATTTCGAATGGTCGGTCACGTGGGAAACTGAGGCAGAACAAAATCACATTCGTGCCTCAGAAATGAGGCTGTGCAACGCAGTGTTCCCTCTATGCTGAGTTAGTGTGAGCCAGCTCACAGCTTTTTTAGCCTCCGGCTCAACAGATTTTTGTCTCAGCTCAGGAAGGATGGGGCTCCAGAGCAAACCGATTTATGCAGTAGAGCCAAATCGCTAGCTAAGAACTTTAATGCCAGGAGCTCACAAAGTAGGATTTTTGCTCACAAGACTCTACAGCTCAGAGGGAGCATTGTTATGGAACTCCTGCCCAGTGCTCAGGACATGACAGGAGCCACCTCCCGTTTGCATCGCCCACCAGTCACCTGAACAAAAGCAAAGGCCTGCTTACCTATGCCATGCTTCCGGAATTCTTTGACCACGCCCAGGCTTAAAATGTAGGCGACCTGAGTATCCACAGGAAAGCTGGAAGCTAAAATATCACCATCCTAGAGAGGGAGGGAGGAAGAAACCACGTTAAAAGTCCACGACCTCAGCACACAGGCTTCTTCTCAAGTCCAGCTTCCTTCCTTTCTTCCTTCCTTTCCTTGAGAAGGGGGGAGATGTTAGCTGGAGGGGGGGGAAATGTACAACCGAAAGTATTCTCACCCGATGTCATGTAGCCCTGTCATGGGTCTGGAATGTGGAGGGGTGCCTTCCCGTTTTCTGTCTCAGCTCTCCCTGGCTCACCAACCATTTGCTATGTTATGCTTGACCTTGTAGATGTTCCAGCTGCAGTTTTACTCGGCTGGGAAAGTCAACAGCTTTTGCTTTGCCTGCTTGCTTTGCCCGTGCACGCGCACGAGATGTATCCACTGGCTCATGCTTACCGGGGGGATGTCTGATTCCAGTATAAGTCAGAGGCCCTAGTACTGGCGCCCATTCCTGACACAAGCTGTACACGTGTCTCTAGTACTGGATTTACCAATAAACAGTTATCTTCTCACGAAGCCCTGTGTTGCGTAACCCTGACAAAGTGTTCTGTGGATAAAACTTTCATTTTATTTATGGAAGTGACGGTCCGCCTCCCTCACCGGGACTCAAGGCAGATGACACAGAGGGAGTCGGGACAAGCGACAAGATGAGGCATCCAGTAAAACAAGGAAATAAACAAGAAGAACAAGAGAAGAGATTGGATTTATACCCCCGGCCCTTCACTTGGAGTCTCAGGGCGCCTTACAAACTCCTTCCCTCCCCCTCCCCACAACAGACGCCCTGTGAGATAGGTGGGGCTGCTGAGAGAGCTCTTTCCAGAACTGTCCTTGAGAGAACAGCCCTGAGAGAACTTGTAACCTACCCAAGGTCAAACCAGCAGCTGCAAGTGGAAGAGTGGGGGATCAAACCCAGCTCTCCCAGATTAGAGTCTGCGCACTTAACCACTACACCAAACTGGCTCTCAAGGAAATGCGATATACTTTTCTAATGATGCTGTACTTGGGCAGACCTTGTACGATGTTATGACTAATACTTTTCTTTTTTTTAAAGAAAGGGTGGGAGACCCAATGACCAGGCTAGAAGACGGATGCTGGCTTGCAGCGCAGCGTAACCTCGGTGTAAGAGGCGCCCAACGGCGGAAGGCAATCGAGGGGCGAGACCCTCCGCCTACCTCCTTGTGCACTTTTGTCCGACTCTTGATCTCGGCCACTATCATTCCCACAATGATGCCCCGGTAAGTGGCCGCCAAGGAGAAAAACTTCTTGTTGGAAGTGATGTCCCGATACCACGAGTCAGGGTACCTGGGAAGGGGGGAAAAACAGAACTAAGGAAGAAGAAGAGATGGGATTTATACTCCACCTGTCACTACCTGGAGTCTCAGAGCGGTTTCACAATCTCCTTTCCCTCCCCCTCCCCACAACAGACTCCCTGTGAGGTCGGTGGGGCTGAGAGAGCTCTTGACAGAAACGGCTCTTTTTCAAGGACAGCTCTGACAGAACTACGGCTTGCCCAAGGTCATCCAGCAGCTGCAAGTGGAGGAGTGGGGAATCAAACCCGGTTCTCCCAGATTAGAGTCCGCGCTCCTAACCACTACACACACCCCGGGGGGGGGGGGGGTGTTGGCAAGCCCCCCACTGCTTAATGAAACCACATGCCCAGAGACACACACACCCCGGGCACTTGACGGGGACAACGAGGAGGAGCAACGTGCGGATGGGTCTAGGGAACATGGGCCTTCCTTTCACGCGCCACAGCTCTCTTGGTTCTGCACGACTCAGACGTGTCCTCTGCAGAGACCACCCTGCTCTTCTCTGCTTGTGGCAAACTAGCCAGGATTCCATAATGTGGAGGGGCTCTGCTTCGGGGCGGGGGGGTTAAACGAAAGTCCTCGGGTCCTTCTCAGACCCCTTCCCTGCCCCCACTCAAGAAAAAGAAGAAGAGAAGATATTGGATTTGTACCCCGCCCTTCACTACCCAAAGGAGTCTCAGAGCAGCTTCCAAACTCCTTTCCCTTCCCCTCCCCACAACAGACACCATGTGAGGCAGGTGGGGCTGAGAGAGCTCTTTCAAGGACTGCTTCTGAGAGAATACCCCGGGCTGCACGGCTGGTGGCGTCCTGCACCGCTCGTTCCCCCCCCAGCCCCAAAGCCAGGCCCACAACCTACTCTATGGGGAACCAGTCGCCGCAGAGCTGCTTGACCGTGTCTATGTCATCATGGCACAAGAGGCGGAGGCTGATCTCACTGAGTGCGGCCGGGGGCACCTCCTCGGTCATTCACACCTGCGGGGGGAAGGACGAGACAAAGTCCGTGAGGATGAAGGCAGCCCGCGCAAGGAGCAGGGGCGGGCCAGGCAGGAAGCTGCCAGATGGAGAAAAGGGGAAACACGGTTGGGATCATTGGCGTGGCCTGCCCGCTTCCTTCCCGGACCAAAGGGCAGACGCCTCCAAAGGCCTTTCGAGCTGCCACCAGGCCACCACCTTGCGTCTCAGTTGAGCAGAAAAGGATTACCAAAGGGCTGCAGGGGTACAAACATAAGAGAAGCCAATGCTGGATCAAACCAATGGCCCATCCAGTCCAGCACTCTGTCACTCGGTGGCCAAAAATACCAGGTGCCATCAGGAGGTCCACCAGTGGGGCCAGGACACTAGGAGCCCTCCCACTGTCCGTCCACCCCCCCAAGCACCAAGAATACAGAGCATCCCTTGCCCCAGACTGAGGGTTCCTATAAGAACATTAGAGAAACCAGTGTTGGATCAGGCCAATGGCCCACCTAGTCCAACACTGTGTGTCACACAGTGGCCAGAAATACCAAGTGCCATCAGGAGGTCCAGCAGTGGGGCCAGGACACTAGGAGCCCTCCCACTGTTGCCCCCCCCAAGCACCAAGAATACAGAGCATCCCTTGCCCCAGACTGAGAGTCCCTATCTATACCTTGTGGCTAATAGCCAGCGATGGACCTTTGCTCCAGTTCCCTCTTGAAGCCGTCCATGCTTGTAGCTGCCGCCACCTCCTGTGGCAGTGAATTCTATGTGTTATTCCCTCTTTGGGTGAAGAAGGACTTCCTTTTATCCATTCGAACCCAACCGCTCAGCAAATTCATGGAGAAAGAGAGAAAAGTGCTTCTTTCTCTACCTGCTCTATCCCAGGCATAATCTTGTAAACCTCGATCATGTCACCCCTCAGCCGTCATTTCTCCAAGCTAGAGGGGTGCTCAGAATTCTAGACCTGCAAAGCCGCCTCTGGAAGCCCAACACAGCCCACTCTGGGAGGCAGAGCAGAAGCGCCCGTTTCCCCCCAAGCCATGCCACAACCTTTTAATCACGTGCCCTTTGCCAGTTCCCCCCCCCCCACCAAACAAGAAGGGTCTCCAAGCTTTATCCCGCATGCCTAATTGGCCAGTGCTCTGGGGGGGGGTGCATACGAATACCCTATATCCTATTATGCCCATGGGGCCGCCGCCATTCCTAACAGTGCCTGTGTTCCTGCATCTATAGCTCTGCAATAAAAGTATTACCGTTACTGAATGCGTGTACTGCGTTGTTGGCCGTGGGTTCTGACACTGAGGCTATGAAAGCTCTCTGTGCCATCTCCACACACACACACAAAACGGCATATGAAAAATGACACCAGGTGGCTTTTTAAAAAGAGGCGGGGGGGGGGAGATCTATTATTCAAGGCTCACACTGGAAATGAGAACTCCAGTTTTCAATTATTTATACCGACTGGCATTTAAAGCGGGATAGAATTCCACGAGAGGTATCAAATCTATGGCCGCATCAGCGGCTCCCTCTCCAAAGCCTGATTTCGCCGAGAGACAAAAGCCACAGATCAGCGAATCCACAGGGAAGCAACACCAGGCCAAAAACACGAGGAGGCAGGACCCAGCGGAGGAGGAGGAGGAGAACCCATGCCCCCCCCCTGCACCACAGGCAGAGCCTCCAAGGTCACATTTAAAGAGGCACCCGGCGAGGGTTCCTCCTCGGGTGCCTGCTGTGACCAGCGGGAGTCTATTTTTGCCTTACAGAAAGCAACCACGCACAAGAGTCCCAGGAAGGCAATGCTACTGAAGTGCAGGAAGGCCGGGCTTAGTTCGCCCACGGACAGCAGACTTCTTTTGCCCCTCCTCCCCACCCCCTCCACTGCATCCTGAGTTCCTTGACAGAAGAAAAACCCCATTTTGGCTCCGCTGGGAAGATTCAGGCTCCCTTTCATTTGTGTCTGCCCCTTACTGTAACATCAACAACAACCACAACCACCCATCTAAGAACAGAATAGAAGCCAATGTTGGATCAGGCCAATGGCTCCTCCAGTCCAACACTCTGTCACACAGAGGCCAAAAATACCATGTGCCATCAGGAGGTCCATCAGGACACCAGAACCCCTCCCACTGTTGCCCCCCCCCCAAGCACCAAGAAGACAGAGCATCACTTGCCACAGAGCCCCTATCTATACCTTGTGGCTAACAGCCACTGATGGACCTCTGCTCCATAATGCTTACTCAATTCCCTCTTGAAGCCGTCCGTACTTGTAGCCGCCGCCACCTCCTGTGGCAGTGAATTTCATGTGTTAATCCCTCTTTGGGTGAAGAAGTACTTCCTTTTATCTGTTCTAACCCGACCGCTCAGCAATTTCATGGAGTGCCCACGAGTTCTTGTATTGTGAGAAAGGGAGAAAAGTACCTCTTTCTCTACCTGCTCTATCCCATACATAATCTTATAAACCTCAATCATGTCACCCCTCAGCCGTCATTTCTCCAAGCTAAAGAGCCCCAAGCGCTTTAACCTTTCCTCATAGGGAAAGTGTTCCAACCCTTTTATTATTCGAGTTGCCCTTTTCTGCACTTTTTCCAATGCTTTGATATCCTTTCTAAGGTGTGGTGACCAGAACTGTACACAATACTCCAAATGAGGTCACACCATTGATTTATACAGGGGCATTATGATACTGGCTGATTTGTTTTCAATACCCTTCCTACGAGGAGTTAGTGCAACACAAGCTCCAAAGAGTCCAAACACATTCCATCGGCTTCAAGAGATGACTGAGGCTGAAGCCACTTGGCGCTTCCGAGACAGGCCCTGAGAACTGAGGCGCTGGAAATTTCCCTTCACCTGACGGTCCTCAGGGATTCTCAGGCTCATCGCACACTCCCGTTCCTCCTTGCATTCCTTGAGAAGAGCCACGGCAATTAGGCGCTATTAAGGCTAGCAAAGATGAAAGGCAGAGCACAATCCCGTCCTCTTAACAGGAAGGAAGTTACGACACTGCAAGGAACAGGCGGCAGAAAAGGGACTCTCATTATAATAACAAACAAGTGCATGCCTCCCACAGAGACTCCCACGGTCAGGGATGCGACTTTCGGGGGCCTTTAATAACAGCATCTCGCACTCCAGACTGCCATTTCTACACCAGCGAGTGTCACCCCACTCAAGCCCTCGCCTGTTTAAGAAGCAAAGAAAGCGTTGTTAGTTCAAGGAGACTATGGAGGGGCATACCGCCGGCCCCACGTTTTTACGCCGGGGCACAGTGAGGATGTGCCATGTGCCGTCGGTTCAGCTTCCCAAGCGCCTGTATTTACGCTTATTTAAGCCCGCTCTTCCATAATGAAACTCAAGGCAATGAAATCCTCAAAAAGTTTCCCAACCAGGCAATGAAATCCCCAAAAGGTTTCCTAACCTAATTTCAGCCTTCAGAGGGTGCCCTGGGAAGGTAAACTCCCCCCGCGGGGCGAGCGCTCTTCACACAGCTCCTGCAAGGCGATGAGCCTGGCTTGGCGGGCGGCCTGTTCTCCCAGAGAAAGCAGTTTCCCTTTTGCCACAGTTTCGTCCTTCCCACACACCTGGCCCGGGCTTCCTCCACCCTTTTCACCGGAAGAGGGTGTGCCTTGCGGCTGTTGCTCTGCAGAAACACGAACAACCGCCCTCTTTCCTGGAAAGACCTTCTCCCCACTTGGGCCCTCAAGAAAAAACGTGTGTGTGTCTTGAATTTCCACGCAAGCTACCCTCCTGTGCCACCCTCTTGCGTATCACTCGTGGATATCTTCTTTCCGAGTAAACACCCTGACCTGGAGAGCCCAGATTAGCCTGATCTCAACAGATCTCGTGAAGATCAGGAGGGTCGGCCCTGGCTGGTACTTGGATGGGAGACCAGCAAGGAAGTCCAAGGTTGCTACGCAGAGGGGGGCAAGGACAAAACCACCTCTTTGCCTGCCCCGACCTGGATAGTCCAGGCTGGCTCAGCCTCAATGTCAGATCTCGGAAACCGAGCAGGGTTGGTTGCTACGCAGAGGCAGTCAAGGGCGAACCACCTCTGTTTGCTTCCCCTGACCTGGATTTCCCAGGCTGGCTCAGCCTCATCTGATCTCGGAAACCGAGCAGGGTTGGTCGCCATTAGTCCTTGGATGAGAGGCCACCGAGGAAGTCCAGGGTTGCTACGCAGAGGCAGCCGATGACAAACCACCTCCGTTTGTCTCTCCCCTGACCTGGACGGCCCAGGCCAGCCCGATCTCATCGTCTCGTACGCTAAGCAGGGTCGGCTCTGGTCAGTACTTGGGATGGGAGACCATCCAGGGAGACGAAGGTGGCTATGCAGAGGCAGGCGACGGCAAAGCACCTCTGAGCATCTTTACCTTGAAAAACCCTACAGGGTCCCTGTAAACCGGCTGTTGTTATTCGAGGGCACTCTCCACCACCCTCCTGGGTCGCCCTGATCTAGACGGCTCCGGCTGGCCCAACCTCGGAAGTGAAGCAGGGCTGGTCCTCAGACCACCAAGGGAGGCTCCGCAGAGGCCGGCCAGGGCCAACCCCCTCTGCTCCCCTCTCTGGTCTTGAAGACCCCTTGCTGGGGCCGCCAGAAGGCTCCTGTGACCTGAGGGCACTTGACACACAAGCACGGTGGCTCCTCCTCCTCGAGGAAGCCTGGAAATCCTCATGGTCGGATCATTAGAAACTGGGATATAGTCGGTTCTGACGCTAAGCTGTCACATAAAGGCAAAGGCTTCTCTTGCTCGAAAGCCAGCTGAATCCGACTGTAGGGCTGCGGTGCTCATCTCTGTTTCCAAGCCGAAGAGCCAGCGCTGGCCAGCATGACTAAGCGCTGAGGCGCACGGAATGCTGTGACCTTCCCACCGAAGCAGTACCTATGTAAAGGTAAAGGTGCCCTTGCTCGAAAGCCAGTCAAATCCGACTCTAGGGTTGCGGTGCTCATCTCCGTTTCAAAGCCGAAGAGCCAGCGCTGTCCGAAGACGTTTCCGTGGTCATGTGGCCGGCATGACTAAACACCAAGGCGCGCGAACACTGTTACCTTCCCACCGAAGTGGTACCTATTTATCTACTTGCAATTTCTTGCTTTCGAACTGCTAGGTTGGCAGGAGCTGGGAGCTCACTCCGTCATGCGGCACACTCGGGTCTCGAACTGCTGAACTACCGACCTTCCACAGCCTGCAGTTCAGCGTCTTAACCACTTGAGCCACCACAGCTCCATAGTACCTATGTATCTACTTGCAATTTCTTGCTTTCGAACTGCTAGGTTGGCAGGAGCCGGGGCCAGAGACAGGAGCTCACTCCATCGCGTGGCACTCGGGACTTGAACTGCCGAATTACAGACCTTCCGGTCTGCAGCTCAGCGTCTTAACCACTCAGCCACCGCAGCCCCTAAGCTGTCACATAGCCTCTCCATGATAACCTTTTCTGTCCCGAATCACCACCGTTTCAACTTTGCCTGCACTGCTGATGACAATGTTGGGATCGTTAGCCAACTCGCTAAGTGCCCTGTATCCCCTCCGGGACATATCCCACCCCCTAGGATTAAACTTGGGACTCCCGAATTCTGATTCCTCTTAGGACAAGATTCTCAAAGGCCAGCAACAAAAGGGTCAGGTGCAGGTGGAACAAGCTGGGACTTCGTATGAAATTCAGCTGGACACCTGAATGGCTAACAGCAACCACCACCGCCGTGGAATCCAGTCGCACAATCCTTTTGGGATGGCCCCGCTCGGCAGGAAGGCTGCGAGAGGACCCCAGAGGGTGTGTTTGTGTGTGTGTGTGTGTGTTTGTTAAATGTTAAGTATTCCTATCTCTGCATCCTACGCATGTCTTAATTATGTCAGGATGGTAAAGGCCGAAGAGGCCACATGCAATTAAACTTTCTTACCGACAGTTTGGATAACTTCTGGTTTTGGTCTCTACAAAGCAACCAAGTGACTGCTACTGTTTATGCTTGTGACAGCTCTTCAATGTATGGTTGCTTCTTTATTTTTGGTACTGTGTTGGCTGCCTATTCATTGCGATTGCTTGGAATCTTCTAATAAAAATCTGAAAAGTTTTTTTGGTTTGTTTTTTAAGAAAACAAACCAACACCCCAAACTTTCTACCTACCTATTTAAACCTCTCAGCCGCCCTCCCCCTGTCAAGCCGGGCTCAGGGCGGCGTGCAACAGACAGCTTGCAGAAAACACCAAGGAAGCAAATGGAAGAGCAATACCGAAGGGCAATAAAGAATGAATGAATAAATAAAGCCCCCTTTGCACGACAGCCCCGCGAGGTAGGCCCGCCGCCTATCATCCGGGTCCCGTGGCGCATGCGCGAAGCCCCCCTCCCCGGGGGTTCTTTCTTTCCGCCCCTCTCCTCCCCTCACCTGAGGGGGGCGGCGGCTGCCCCAGCTCGAGGCAGCGGCGTCCGGGAACGGGGCCTGGGCGGTTCGGTGGCCGCTGCGCGACGAGGCCCGGCGACGACTCCTCTCAGCGGCGGCGGCGAAGGCCGGCAGAGACGGGCCCACCCCGCAACAAGACGCCGCCCCATTGGCTGAAGTCCCTCACGTGGCTCCTGGCAGACGCGGCGCCGTCGCCACCATCTTGGAAGAGGGACGGGGAAGGACACCGCCGCTCTCTGCGCATGCTCGGCTTCTTTCCCCTCCCCTCTCCGGGCAGAGTCCTCGCGGTTGCGCCGCAGCCGGGGTTCAAGGGGTTGCCAACCCCAAGGCGGGACCGGGAGGACTCCCGGAATTACAACGTAGCTCCGGGACACCGTTGCGAGTCCAGGGGCAGCTTTAAAGAGCAGCAAGATTTAGTTCCTGGTGGAAGCGTCCAGGGTGCGTGCGTGTGCACGCTTCTTAGAGGGGAGGGGAGCCGTGACCAAAGCTCCCTCTAAGCTCTGGAGTCCTGTGAGCAAAAATTCGACTTTGTGAGCTACTGGCGTTAAAGTTGCGAGTGAGCGATTGGGCTATACTGCATGACTTAGTCTGCTCTTCTGGAGCCCTCCTTCCTGAGCTGAGACAAAAAAAGTGTGAGCTGAAGGCTAAAAAACTGTGAGCTGGCTCACACTAGCTCAGCTTAGAGGGGACACTGCGGGCCGTGACTCACCAAAGCTCCTCCCCTGGCCATGCTCCCTCTAAGCTGCGGGGTCTTGTTGTGAGCAAAAATTCTTACTTTGTGAGCTGCTGGCATTCAAGCTGTGAGCAAGCGATTTCGCTCCTGCATAAATTAAGTTTGCTCTGGAGCCACATCCTTCCTGGGCCAAGATGAAATCGCGCAAGCCGGGGGCTAAAAAACCTGTGAGCTAGCTCACACTCACTCAGCTTAGAGGGAACACCATCCCCCTGGTGCAAATTTGGTCCTCTTTCAGGTGCTCCTGGACTCCGGCTCTTTTCTCCTGCTACAGACAGACTTAACACGGCCACCCATCTTGACTTACACTTGATTTATATCTACATCTTGATCGACAGACTCTTCATATATCTGAAGAAGGGAACCGTGACTTGCGAAAGCTCCTCCCCTGCCACAAATTTTGTGAGTCTTTCAGCTGCTCCCGGGAATCTTGCTCTTATCCACTGCTCCTTGATCTGTCTCCTCTGGAGAAAAGCGGCTTCTTTGGAGGGTGGAATCTACAGCATCGTATCCCAGCCAAGGCTCCCTCTAAGCTACGGAGTCCTGTGAGCAAAAATTCTACTTTGTGAGCTACTGGCATTCAAGGGGTGAGCGAGCGACTGGGCTATACTGCCTCAATTAGCTGGCTCTCGAGCCATCCTTCCTGAGCCGAGACGAAAGCGTGCGAGCCGGAGGCGAAAATACCGTGAGCGAGCTCACACTGACTCAGCTTAGAGGGAACAAAACACACACACACACACCAATCTCCAGGACCTTCCCAGTCTGGAGCTAGCAACCCTATGTGACCGGGAAGAAAGCACGCTTGGCCCTCACAGTCCACCACATGGATCCACACAGCTACTAGGGAGGCCCGGCAGTTTCACACACACACCGCAGTAGCCTTCCCTTTGCTGACATCCAGGCTTAGACCTGCTTCCACACACACTGAATGACGCACCAACGCTAGGACTGTCAGCTCCAGGTTGGGAAATTCCTGGAGGTGGGAGGGGGGGAGGGACAGAGCTTAGCAGGGGTGTGACACTACACAGTGTGTGCTCCAAAGCAGCCATTTCCTCCAGGGATACATAAACAATGCAGTACAGAGTAAAGATAAGCACATAAGAAAAGCCAACGTTGGATCAGACCAATGGCCCATCCAGTCCAACACTCTGTCACATGGTGGCCAAAAGTACCAGGGGCCATCAGGAGGTCCAGCAGTGGGGCCAGGACACCCGAAGCCCTCCCACTGTTGCCCCCCCCCAAGCACCAAGAATACAGAGCATCACCTGCCCCACAAACCAAAAAAAACTGTAACAATGAATATAATAAAATGAAATATAACATGAAACTCGTGTTTAGTAGAAAAGCAAGGTGCCGTTTTTATGATGCACACTGTTCCCAAAATGCTTCCCGTGTTTGCCAGCTTCCTGGCCGCATATCGCCTGATGCTCTGTCAAAAGAAGAACCTGAAACTGAAGAAACCGTACAAACGAAACCCATAGCTCATGTGTGCAACACCCCACTTAATTTTTTTCCCGTTTTGTTTTGTTATATCAGCCTCAACCTTGGGAAACTGCTTCCGACTTCGTCATTGGGGGAATCCCCCTTTTGAAATTCCTTGTTTCTTTTGACTTTTGATATTCAAGCATTTTTGGAGTTGGCAGTGCATTATGTATAATGTTTTACAGTGTGCATCATAAAAACAGCACCTTGCTTTTCTACTAAACATGAGTTTCATGTTATATTTCATTTTATTATATTCATTGTTACACTTTGGTTTGTGGATTTCTTCCAGGGGAACTGATCTGTCGCACCTGGAAATCAGTTGTGATTCTGCGAGATCTCCAGGCCCCACCTGGAGGCTGGCAACTCTACTCTTTCAGTGCCCCTTTAGCACTCTCATTTGCAAGCGGAATTTGCTGTTTCACACATTCAGATCAGGTAGCAAACTGCACTGAAAGCGCATTCTTCAGCTTGTGTGAAGGGAGTCACTCTAGAAGACAGGTTTTGTCTTTTAAATATTAGGACCCGCTGTCAGGCGTGGCTTTGGGCTCCCCCCCCCCCCCCACAAGAAAACTCTCCGCGAATTTTTTTGATGTAAACTTTCCGGAAATTTTGAATCACTGAAAAAATCCCAGTTTTTTCCCAGGAAAAAAATGGAAATTTTCAGAAAAATTGAAAAAAATGCTACATTAGCACTTCTTTTTTTTTTTTCCAGATTGAAAGTCATTCTGTTACTTTAGGAACATAAAGTATGACTATGGACATTTTTACTTGGCATGAAATTATCACAATTTAGCACATTAAAAATATAGTGTATCCAAACAGTTATTACAAACAGAATACCCACCCACATGCAAAACCCCCCCCTGAAACATTTTTCTTTTCTTGTGACGATAGCACCTCCTAAAGGAAGAAATGCATCTTGTTCTTGCATTGGAGAGTTCTGTTTGTAACCTAGGACTTGCAATTAGATCAATCTGATACCATACATATTTTTTAGAAATGATTTGGAAAATATTTGAACACCTTGTCTTAAAATATTTTATTCATCTTGTTAAAATAAAATGATCCATAATCTTTTTTTTTCTTTTTTCAATTTTTCCAATTTTTCGGAAAAAAACCAAAAAAAGGCTTCAGGAAAAAACGGGGGGAGAAGTCCCCTCCCCCACTTTCCCGGTTTTTTTCTGGGTCTTCACATCTCTACCCCCCCCCAGGCAAAAGCAGGAGACTGGCAGAGTGGATCGTGTCCCAAACGGTGTTCCCTCTAAGCTGAGTTAGTGTGAGCTAGCTCACAGTTTTTTAGCTTCCAGCTCGCACATTTTTGCTCAGCTCAGGAAGGATGGGGCTCCAGAGCAAACTAAATTTATGCAGCGGCCAAATCGCTTGCTCACAACTTTGCCAGTCGCTCACAAAGAAGAATTTTTGCTCACAAGACTCTCCACAGCTCAGAGGGAGCGTTGGTCCCAAGATGTCAGTCTTGCATATCCCCTTCACATCAGCTCCACACTTTGGCACGTCAGTGCATTCAAGATTAGCCGTGTTCTCTCTTGCTGCCATACGTGGCACTTTCGTTTACTTCGACATGTACCAGCTGCAGTGCCACACAAAAGTCTACCAGTTACAACCTTTGAAAAGTAACCCTAATTTGTCCACTACAAGAATGATCTCCCGGGGGCGGGATGTTCGCTAATAAAAATGAATTTGCCAAACAGTATCTGAAAATAAAACGGCGGAAAAGTCATAATTTCTTTCCTCCCCCCCCCCCCCCGCACTTCAACTGCAAATGCCGAATTGCTACTTCCAAAGCAAAAAATGTGCACCAAAGGAGGACAATTTTTATGCATACGCACTCACAGAGAAAGGCCCAGACGTGAACCGGAAGCTCTCATCCAGAATTTTTACTAACGAGGAATTGGGGGTTAGATCCACCAAAACAAGGCACAACTGCACAATGCGGCCATCCTACTTAGATGTAAGAAAAATCCACCTTCATTGACAGGGCTTCTTCTATATATATATACAATTGGGTTTATTTTTTAAAAAAAGACTGTCCCATTTTACTATCCGGCGCCCCTGGTTCACTCTCTTGGCAGAGAAGACCTCTCTCCAGACATCACGCAGTAGCGGTAAACGTGGAGCAACAAGGATGCTGGTTTCCCTGCACGGGCTCCTGATGGAAGGAAAACGGCGTGGCCGCTCACAGAGTGCAGGAGAAGTTCTTTCAGCGGATGGGCCGGTAGGGAAATTGCCCGGGATGAACGTCTGCACGGGGTGGGCAGGCAGAGCCGGGTGTGCCGGGAGGGCAGGGTGTGCCGGGAGGGCGGGGTGCGCCGGGAGGGCCGGATAGCCCAGCGGGGGCGTGTGGATGGGCGGGTAGAACCCTGGCGGCAGAGTGGCGTGGGACGGCTGCTGGACTGGGCCCGAGACCACCAGCTGGAGCAGGCTGTAAGGAAAAGAGAGAAGAGGGAAGGAGTTTGGAGGCACACAGAGCGCCTGAGGCAACACTTCCTGCTGGTGCGTGGGTGGCCAGTCACCGGGTGGGCAACCAAGGGCCAAATCAAGACACAGAAGGCTAAGCTGAAAGCACCCAGCAAGATGAAACCCATTACAAAGCGGCAGCCAATGGAGAGGAAGAAGAAGAGGAGATTGGATTTATACCCCATGGCCCTTCACTACCCGAAGGTGTCTCAGAGCGGCTTACAAACTCCTTTCCCTCCCCCTCCCAACAACAGACACCCCCTGGGAGGTCGGTGGGGCTGAGAGAGCTCTTGACAGGAAGTGCCCTTGAGAGAACGTGTGACTGACCCAAGGTCACACCAGCAGCTGCATGTGGAAGAGTGGGGGAATCAAACCCGGTTCTCCCAGATTAGAGTCCGCGCTCCTAACCTTTGACACCAAACTGGAGAATGCCCAGAGGATGGCCTCCTTCCCACCTGGCACTAAAGCACGCTTGGCACCACGGCATCGCTGCTCAAACGGAAACAGGTCGTGTTCTGTCCCGCGCCTCCTCCCTTTCCCTTGGGGCAGAGAGGTCTTGTGCCCCTGCACTCTGAGAGAGAGCACGTGGCACCATTTAAAACAGGGGTCTCCAACACAGTGCCCAGGGCCCCCGCCGCCCCCTTTCCTGGTGCCTGCCAAAGGTTTTTAGAATTGGGTGAGGCCTGGTGGAGCTTTTGCAAAGCAAGTCTCCTGACTGGACACGGGAGATTTGATTGGCTGCCAGCGCGGCACAAGGATCTTCCCTGCGGGATGAGAAGCAAGCTGGGGCAGCTGTTTTGTCGCTGCACTCCCTGCCCTGTGCCAGCACTCCAAAGTTTCCCGCAGTCTCGGGCGACCCCCGATTTGCAGTGTTCCGCTTCCCACAGACGGAGGCGGCTTCCTTACTTGTTGTGCGGGAGTCTGGAGCAGACCGTCCTGAGGTCCTCTGAAAGAGAGCAGAAACAAAAGTGAGGCTTGGGCGAAGAGCTGACACAGAGGCCTCCACAAAGACCTGCTTTCTCACCCAAGACTGTGCCATGTGGCCTCCTGGGAGTCCAGGGGTCATTTCCTGCAGGAGTGCACAGGAGTGGAGCTCCGGCAGTAAAGAGCCCAGGGGGTGGGCACATGCAACAAGCCCCACCCCCTGCTCCCAGCAGCCCTCAGTCAGAGCAAGAAGCAGCCAGGTAAGTTGCAGAGCTCCCCCCTGCCCCAAAACAGTCCAGTGGCACCTTTAAGACCAAGTTTTATTCAGGTACAAGCTCTCCCTCCTCTGTGATGGGCATATCTGCACGTTCCCCCCCCCCTACCCCCAATAGCTAGCAACCCAAAACAGTCCAGTGGAGCCTGAGCGATGGGTGTTGCCTTCTGACACACTTCCGGTGATGTCAGGGGGTGTGGCATATGCAAATGAGTTATGCAAATGAGCTCCTGCACCTCTTTTTCTACGAAATGACCCCTGCCTGGGACACACTCTCGGGGAGGTCACCACAAGCCGGCTGGGGAACCGTCTCTGAGCCAGAAGGCACGCCTAGAAAGACACGGCCCTCTCGTGTGCTTGGGGGAGAAGGGAGCGTGCTGGGATGCTGTTTCTGAGCCAGTTACGAGGAATTCAGTCGGCAGAAAGGGCGAAGACGGAGCGAAGGTCAGCGCATACCCTCCCTGATCTCTCCAAGCTGGTCACACGCTCTGACAACTAGAGCCGTAGCAGCAGGGATGCAGGCCACTGCATGGGTCAGGCCGCACCTGAAACACCATGTGCAGTTCTGGAGGCCTTGCTCCAAAAAGGATGGGGACAGAATGGAGCGGGTGCAGAGGAGAGCGACAAAGATGATTGGGGGGCCTGGCAACCAAAAAGCCCTACGAGGGAAGGCTTGGGGGACTTGTGGCATGTTCAGTCTGGCGAAGAGGAGGCGGGGGGGGGGAGGATGGCTCTCCTGAAGCATCTGAAAGGCAGGGAGCTCATTAGCACGACTCATTTGCATATGCCACGCCCCCAACATCACCCGAAGTGTGTCAGAAGGCAACGCCCACCGCTCAGGCTCCACTGGACTGTTTTGGATTGCTAGCTATTGTTTGGGGGGGGGCGCAGCTCTGCAACTTACCTGGCTGCTTCTTGCTCCTCATGGCCCAACTGAGGGGGTGCGGGGGGAGGGGGCAGGGCATGTTGCATGTGCCCGCCCCCGGGGCTCCTTACTGCTGGAGCTCCGCTCCTGTGCGTTCCCACAGGAAATGACCCCTGCTATGGCCCCTTCCAACTCTATAATTCCATTAGAGTTGGATGAGACCTCCGGGGTCTTCTAGTCCAACCCGCTGCACAATACAGGACATCCACAAATGCACACACACCCCGCACTCCCAATGACTCCTGGTTCCACACCCAGAAGTTGACAAAAAACCTCCAGCCGAACGGGCCTGGATGAAAATTGCTGCCTGACCCCAAAGTGCTGATCAGCATTTCCCTGGGCGTGCAAGAAAGGGCCACGAGAACTATGTCCTGAGGCCACCCTTCCTGCCCTCCCTTCTCGTGATCTGCCCAAGTTCACAGAATCCACACTGCTGTCAGACGGCCATCGAGCCTCTGTTTGGAAACCTCCAGAGGAGGAGGAGAGCCCACCCCCTCCCCAGGAAGCCTGTGCCACCGAGGAACCGCTCCTTTGGGAAGTTCCTCCTAATGTTTAGCCGAAAACCCTTCTGATTCAATTTCAGCCTGGTGGTTCTGGTCCGACCTTCTGGGGCAACAGAAAACAACTCCGCCCCATCCTCTCTCGGACAGCCCTTCGAGGACTTGGAGAGGGCGATCCTCTCAGTCGTCTCCTCTCCATGCTAAACAGACCCAGCTCCTTGAGCCTTTCCTCATCGGATTACAGCTTCCTACAAGTGCCAACAGCGTCACTTTCTTGCAGGGGTGCCTGCTCATTCTCTTCGCCCTTGACGCTGTCCCTGGAGAGTGCTGCAGCAGGCTGTGTCCCCCGGCCGCCACGGCCACCTGCAGGGCTTGGGCCAGCCGGTCGAGGGCCAGCTCCACCTCCTGGGAGGCGCTGAGCGGGCCGAGTTCGTCCGAGAGGCGGCCGACCTCCTCCACGAGGGCCACCATGTGGTCGAAGGGCACCAGCCCCAGGCGGCCGTAGAGGTTCTTCTCGGTCAGGTGGCCCTGCAGGAGCATGAGGACCTGGAGGACGCTGAGGTGCAGCTTGGAGTAGAGGGGCTGGCAGTCGCGGGCCGGGACCGGGGCCGAGCCCTTGGCCGGCTTCCCCTCGAGGTGGCCGTTCGCCAGGGCCGGCTTCCTCCGCCGGTACGCCAGGGGGGCCTTCACACACCAGCGGATCAGGCCGCTGAGCGGGGTGAGCTCCAAGAATCCGATCGGCAGGCTGGTGGCGATGGGCGTGTTCAGGAAGGTGATCAAGGTCAGGCGCGGGTCTTCGAAGATCCAGGAAACGACCATCTCCAGCAAGTCTGGCGGGGGGATGAGGTCGTCTGGAAGGGAGGGAGGGAGGGAGGGAGGGAGACACGCCTCTGAAGCCAGCCCACGGACGCCAAGCCCCCTGGAGAGCCACTCCCCCCCCCTTCTCTGCCAAGGCCCTTGTGGAGACAGCCTGGGCCCCACCGCCTCTGGCTTCTGCCCGCAGAGAGAGGAGCAGGCAGGCGGCAAGTCAAGCTCACTCAGCAGGAGTGGGCTCCTCTTCTGCCCCCGGCAGGTTCGGACCCACCCCTTCCAGGATTGACTCCCCCTTCTCCGTCTCTCCTCCGGTCCCACCTCCCCTCTCTGCCAGCTGATCATCCCACACGCTGTGCTTCATTGTGGGGCGGCGCACCGATGGTCAAGGTCCTAACTCATGCTATCGGCTTACCTACCTCGCAGGGTTGGTGTGAAGGTAAAATGGAGAAGGGGAGAATGTTGTTTGCCACTTTGTGTACAAAAGCAGGGTACAAATATTATTATTATTACTTATTAAATATGTGTGTGCGAAGATAAACAGAGAAGGGAAGAATGTTGTGTGCCACTTTGTGTTCAAAAGCAGGGTACAAATATTATTATTACTTATTAAATTTTTTGTGCGAAGATAAACAGAGAAGGGAAGAATGTTGTGTGACACTGTGTACAAAAGCGGGGTACAAATATCATCATTATTATTGATTAAATTTGTGTGTGTGAAGGTAAAATGGAGAAGGGGAGAATGTTGTATGCCACTTTGTGTACAAAAGTGGGGTACAAATATTATTATTTATTAATTATTAAATTTGTGTGTGCGAAGATAAACGGAGAAGGGAAGAATGTTGTGTGCCACTTTGTGTACAAAAGCAGGGTACAAATATTATTATTACTTATTAAATTTTTTGTGCGAAGATAAACAGAGAAGGGAAGAATGTTGTGTGACACTGTGTGTACAAAAGCGGGGTACAAATATCATCATTATTATTGATTAAATTTGTGTGTGTGAAGGTAAAATGGAGAAGGGGAGAATGTTGTATGCCACTTTGTGTACAAAAGCGGGGTACAAATATTATTATTTATTACTTATTCAATTTGTGTGTGCGAAGATAAACAGAGAAGGGAAGAATGTTGTGTGACACTTTGTGTACAAAAGCGGGGTACAAATATTATTATTTATTACTTATTCAATTTGTGTGTGCGAAGATAAACAGAGAAGGGAAGAATGTTGTGTGACACTTTGTGTACAAAAGCGGGGTACAAATATTATTATTTATTACTTATTCAATTTGTGTGTGCGAAGATAAACAGAGAAGGGAAGAATGTTGTGTGACACTTTGTGTACAAAAGCGGGGTACAAATATTATTCTTTATTGCATATGTGTGTGTAAACTGCAGCTGGAGACTGCAAGGTCAAGCATGAGGGAGCGCACAGAAGCTGGCCAGGAAGAGCTGAGATCTATGACAATACTCAACCTGGAGCCAGTGCAGCTGGCGAAGCACCGTTTGGATATATGCCGTCGAAGGGGTCCCCGTGAGGACCCGGGCCACTGCATTCTGGACCAGTAGTGATTTCCGAGTCAGCCTCAAGGGTAGCCCTACCTAGAGTGAGCTACAGTAGTCTAGCCCGGAGGCAATCGTTGCATGGATTACAGTGGCCAGGTCAGGGTAAACCAATAAATACAGTGGGACCTGGTCTTTCTAACGCAGAAGGCACCTCTGCCCCCGACGCCAGCACGGCCCCTCCTCACCCAGTGGGTATAAATAGGGAGTTACCTGAGGACATGTCGTACAGCACGGTGACCGACGTGATGAACTGGCAGCAGAAGCGTGGGCTGGCGCTGAAGATCTGCCTCAGGGTCTGGACGGAGCCGGGCACCAGGCTGCAGTAGTCGTCCACCAAGGCCTGGGCCAGCCTCACGCAGTACACCGTCGGGGTCCGCTGGAAGAAGAAGAAGAAGAAGACATTGGATTTATACCCCACGGCCCTTCACTACCCAAAGGAGTCTCAGAGCGGCTTACAAACTCCCTTCCCCTCTCCACAAGAGACACCCTGTGAGGCGGGTGGGGCAGAGAGAGCTCTTGACTGGAACTGGCTCTTTTTCAAGAACAGCTCTTGACAGAACTACGGCTTGCCCAAGGTCATCCAGCAGGTGCACGTGGAAAAGTGAGGAATCAAACCCGGTTCTCCCAGATTAGAGTCCGCGCACTTAACCACTACACCAGAGAGCGGCAAACGCTGGCAATGCCCAGCAGAGAGGGCAGGAGACGGGAGACGACGACACCCAGTTTAGCCTCCTGCACAACGCAGGGCAAACTTGGCAGCTTCTGCCTCAGCTGGGTTGCAAGACTTCAGGCAGCCTCTCTTGGCCACTGGCAAACCTCCCCACCCCCACCCCCACCCCGATCAGTGAAAAAGGCTGAGGGTGTTTCATTGTGCTGCAATTGTTGCATGCCGCCTGGAGAGACTCTTCAGGATACACATCACAAAATACAACAACAACAACACAGAAGCATAAGACTTGCTGAGGAAAAAACGGCAGTACCGAACACAGTAACTCATACAGAGGATGAGTTCTTGCATTGGAGAGTTCAGTTGGTACCCTAGGACTTGCTTGTCCTCAGTGCACAGAAATTAGATCAATCTGATCCCATACATATTTTTTAGAAATTATTTGGAAAATATTTGAACACCTCATCTTAAAATATTTTATTCATCATGTTAAAATAAAATGTTCCATAATCAATTTTTTTTCTTTTCTTTTTTCAATTTTCCCAATTTTTTTGGGAAAAAAAAAGGCTTCAGGAAAACAACGAGGGGGGGGATGGTTTTTTCCTGAATTTTTCCGGGCTTTCACATCTCTAGCCCCTCTGGGAGGGGGAAATGCCCCACAAGCCACAAAATCCTGGCTACGGGGGCCATTGTGCCCATCGCACACACATGATTTTTCACCTGGCCGATTCCGCCCCGGCCCAAGCCTCACCTGCAGCCACGAAGCCGCGCATTCCAGGACCGGCACTCGGCACACGGCCACCGCCATGGAGACGAGCTTGCCCAGCAGAGCCATCCTGCAGTCGTCGGCCTTGTTCCCTTGCGGGCCGAAGAGGGAGGAGAAGATGATCTGCCGGACAGAGTCCTTGCTCTGCTCCTGGAAATAGTTGCACATGATCTCCAGCAGCTGGAGCTCCTGCAGCGAGTTCAGTCTCTGCGAGCGTAAAGAAAAACAGTCCTCTGCCGTTAGCCAACCCTCAGGGGGCTCGCGGGAATCAGACACACACACACACACCGTCCACCATAGGATTGTCTACCCAGACTGGCAGCTGCTCTCCAGGGACTCAGGTAGAAAAGAGTCTTTCACATCACTCACTACCTCATCCGTAGCTAAAATGCTGCTGGGGATTGAACTGTGGACCATCTGCATGCAAAGCTGATGCTCTACCAAGAGCCACGGCCCCGTCCAGCCTCTGAAAGAGCCAGTCTGATGTCGTAGTTAAGTGCGCGGACTCTAATCTGGGAGAACCGGGTTTGATAATCCCCACTCCTCCTCCACTTACACCTGCTGGATGACCTTGGGCAAGCCGTAGTTCTGATAAGAGCTGTTCTTGAAAAAGAGCAGTTTCTGTCAGTGCTCTCTCAGCCCCACCTACCTCACAGGGTGTCTGTCTGTTGTGGGGAGGGGAAGGGGAAGGAGTTTGTAAGCCGCTCTGAGACACCTTCGGGTAGTGAAGGGCCATGGGGTATAAATCCAATCTCTTCTTCTTCTTCTCTTCACCAGCTGCATTCCAGACCCCCAAGATGTCTTAGGAGAAGTGCTTCTCAACTAGGTGGATTTGGCCCTCCAGTGGCAATCTACAAACTGGGGTGTGTGTGTCATAGGGGGATGCATTCTGAACTTCTGGGGCAAAACGGGACTTTTGGCAGCGCCGAGACCACACTCCAACTGTGCGACTGAACAACCAGACCACTCCTGCGGTGGCTTCTTGTTTTATACTGCCCCTCCACCCCGAGAATTCAATCCCAGCTCTGGGATTTCTCCCCCAGGCCCTTAAAAATGGCAAACAGGGGTCAACCCCACAGGAAGGAGTTGGCCGATGATGATGAAGAAGAAAAGACTGGATTCATACCCCATGGCCCTTCACCACCCAAGGGAGTCTCAGAGTGGCTTACAAACTCCTCTCCCTTCCCCTCCCCACCACAGACACCCTGGGAGGTAGGTGGGGCTGAGAGAGCTCTTGACAGGAACGGCTCTTTTTCAAGGACAGCTCTTGTCAGAACTGTGGCTTGGCCAAGGTCATCCAGCCAGGTGCAAGTGGAGGAGGAGTGGGGAATCGAACCCGGCCCTCCCAGATTAGAGTCCGCGCACTCAACCACCACGCCAAACTGGCTCTCAGGTGGCCCTGGGGCACAACGGTCACAGGGGAGGGGGTGTCTGAGACGAGGTGCCCTGGGCACATTCAGATTCAAGCCCTGCAACATCTCAGAGACCAACCAGAGCTTCAGGGTACCAGCTTCCAAAAGTCAACACTCCTTTGGTCCGATACATGATTCACTGACTTCATGGACACCCCGTCTTTCTCCTCAGTGGGAACCTAAAGCAGCAGAGGTTCTCCTCTCCTCCATTCTATCCTCACAACAGCCCTGCGAGGACGGCCAGGCTGAGAATAACCTGTGGCTGGCCCCGGGTCCCCCAGTGAGCATCCAGGGCAGCGCCCAGGTCTCCTGGCTCCTAGCTTGACACTCTTAACTGCTAGGCGACATTTTGCCGGACAAAGGGAGTTTTCTTTCTTTATTATTTCTATTTATTGACGGTATTTATGGTCCGCTTTTCTCAGGAGGACTCCAGACAGATGACGCCGAGCAAGTGAATATGACTGACAGGACGAGCACTCAAGCACACAGTGCAACTGGATCAGGGCTGGAGAACCAACCAGAAGTCGAAAGGCAAAAGCGCTGACTCTTGAAAGCCCCCCCAACCTTTCTTGGTCTCTAAGGTGCGCCTGGACTCAAATCAAGGCACTCCACTACAGTACGAAACCAGGAATCATCTTCATCATAAACAGTGTTGCTCGGAACAGCAAGAATCCTGTGAAGATACCTCCGCAATTCCCAAGAACTTGGCTACAACCCCATTTGCCAGCAGGGCCGGCTCTCCTGTTAGGCCAACTAGGCACTCGCCTAGAGTGGGAGGCCCTGGATGGGGCGGCGGGCCCTTGATGGGGGCTCCAAAGTTCGCCTCCCCCCCCGCCAAAAGCCAGCACCGATCCCCGAGGCTCCCCTCCGCGTCCTTCCCGCCTGCCCGGACCCTCTCCAGAGACCCATGGCCGGCGGGGAAAGGCACCGGCAGAGCGAGCACATAAAGAGGGGAGCCCGCGCTGGGGCCACACTTGCAACCACCTGCCAGGGAAGCCAAGGTCGCCGGAGTTGCTGCAGGCGCCGCCAGGCAGGAGGTAAGCGCGCCCTGCTGCCAGTGCCTGAGCCAGCCAGCCAGCCCTCCGCCCTGGGACCGCACGGCCCTTTACCCCCTCGCCCACCTACCTCCTCCTGCCACAGGCACTCAGGTGGCAGCAGAGGCGGTAGCTAAGGAGTGCTGCCAAGAGGGGGTAAAAGGCCGCGTGGTTCCGGGGCGCGCTGAGGCGGAGGGCTGTCTGTCTGTCTGATTCACACAATCCTCCCCCCCCCCCGTGTGCAAACTTGAGGCCGCTGCGCTTTCTTTCTGCCGGCGCCTCAGCCAGCCAGCCCTCCACCTCAAGGTGTTCATGAACACGAAAGCTTATGCCCAGAATTACTCTTTGTGGGTTTCAAAGTCTGTGTACGCATGAAAGCTTATGCCCAGAATTAAACTCTGTGGGTCTTAAAGGTGTGCATGCACACGAAAGCTTGTACCCAGAATTAAACTTCGCTGGTCTTAAAGGTGTGCATGCACACGGAAGCTTATACCCGGAATTAAACTTCGCTGGTCTTCAAGGTGTGCATGCACACGGAAGCTTATGCCCAGCACCAAACTTTGTGGGTCTTAAAAGTGCCCCTGGACCCCCACTTTGCTCTATACTTGACTGTGACAATTCAGAATAACAACAACAAGAGCAACAACAGCAAAGGACTAAAGAGGAAACGAGCGAGCCACGGGTAAGGAGAACAGCCGGGAGGAGGACCTCCCCGGCTCGCGTCCTTCCGCTTCCCTGTGACGTGGGGAGGCGCCTCCGGGCCAGACACGTGTCGGGGGGCGGGCGGGCGGT